AATTCAAGCTTTGCTTATTTAGGTGCTGAAACAGAACTTTCTGTTGTAGAGTAAAGTTTGACAGAGCTCAGACTCTTCTCCGTGTGGAGTGTGCTGCTGCAGGATTCACCTGTGGTTTCAACTTGCACGGAGTTATCTTTAGTTTTCCTTTAACCTTTTATTTTCTCCTTAAGGACTTTGTGTGCTGAGAGAAAGTCTTAATTCCCCAGCCCTCAAATATATATAGTTATATAAAAACCCACCTGAGTGACAAAGCTAACATGTAAAAGTCTTTAAAAACTAAACTATTTTTGTTGGTGTGCGAGACAGACGGTGAGAAAGAGCTGCAAAAAGAGAAAAACTGTAAAAGAGCAGGGAGGTTTGTTTCCAAGGTTTTTAGTCGACTTTGAAAGTCAGAATTGAGTCAGGAATAAAAAAAAAAAAAGTCCTGAGAAACACTCAACTTATCAACAGCCAGCATGACTGACTTTACATTAATTCCTTCGGAGAGGGTTTGTAATATTCATACTTTAGCGAAACGCACGTGTCCTCTGCCACGGTGAAATTACCCAAACGCTGCGCTTTAATGGAAACGACACCTACGGCCTCCTGCAGAGCGGCGATAGGCTGCTGGTGGGAGTGTGTCATCTGCATACATTAATATTCATCAGCGGCACACAGTCGAAAAGGTGAGGCGCTCGCCGCGAGAGGACGCCGGGGGAACGCTGGGAAGTTGAGCCCCCACAGGGCTTTATGGGAAATGATTCCTGGGGTGACGGCATGACCTGTAGCAGGGATGTGTATGCGCTCAGTTACAAATGGCACGCGCAGTATTACCGTCGTAACCTCTCACGGCTGCATGGACGTGTCCACCTCATTAGAAAGGTTGTAGCTGTCCAGATGTGCTTCTAATAGCTGTATGAATAAAATTCACACACACACAAAAAAACATTGTTCCCTCTTCATCACATCTGCTGCTGTCATTAAGGAGCTGCCTTATGCTTTAATCATAAGCCATTATCAGACTCCTCGCTAAGGAGCTGGAGCGCACACACACATGGACACACACTGAAGCCGACAAATACATATGTGCGATCCGGTGGGAGCGGGGAGAGGATCGAGACATCTGCTTCTTCTTTGTGCGTTTTTTTGTTTTGTCACTTCCAAAGGAAATAAAGAAAAGTTCTGGTGCCAGAGCAACTTTTTTAACTCAATCGTAATCTAAAGGGGAAGAGCGATGGGGGAGGTGGAGCCGCCCAGTGAACGGAGGGAGGGCAGTTAAAGAGGCGGCGCTCGCCTGAGTAAACAGGAAATACAGCACCGATAAAGCCTTGATAGGTTCTGTTAAATTGAACAATGCACAAATTATGCTGATGAGACATATGAGGACGAAGACAAACAACGCAGGAGGCTTTGTTTACGTGTGGATGTCCTGAAACCAGGTGGATAATTTATCACATGAAATATAACATGTGCAGAACATTGTGATTTAGCCAAATTAAAGAAAATCAATCATTGGTAAGCAGCTTTGTGTTGCTTCTGACATGCGTGTCCTGAAAGCTGGTTCAGTGATCACATATAAATGATGATTCATTGAAGGAAATGCAAATTTAGCATTTCAAATGTGTGTGTGTGTGTGTTTTAATATGGAGTGTAAATGAATGCCCTAAAACCTGGCTGCAGAGCTGTAAAGAGTGATTTATGTGTAAATTACAATTTAATGCTCTGGATTTAGTTTAATATTAAATGTGATATATCAATATTCATACTCTAATAATGATAGTGAGTCTGAGTTTGGTGGTTGTTAAAGGTTTAACCTCAATTTTGCGATTCTATAGTTAAAAATGTAACACAGAAAACTCCACTGATTCCAGAAAATATTGACAAAGCTTTAAAGGCAACTTTTGACTGATCTTGTGTGATCGTTCATACCCAGCTCCAGTCATGGTCTCAGTGTTGCTGACAGCCAGGCTGACCACCGCCGAGACGTCCACCCTGCCGATGGCCGACGAGCTCCGCTCGCTCTCGTAGAAGGTCAGGAAGCCGCCCTCCAAGGTGCACCAACGACGCGCCATGTCTGAAATTTTATATATATGGTAACTCATTCATTCAAAATATACATTTAAAATACATATAATATATGTTTTTGACAGAGGATGTAACTCATCAGTGTATTCAAAGCTTTATTTAAGTTTTAACCTGGTTATTGGGGGATGTGAGCAGCTGCATTCAACAAATCTATTTATTTATTGTTTCCATTTATGTTTATATTTCACATAAGAAAAATCAAGTTGCATATTTTGGTTGTATTTGTATATTCTTGGTCAGTTTTTATGCAACACCAAATTAGAGGGATGAAAAGAGATTACACCAGCTGAATGACAGGATTTCTTATCCAACGTCCAGAATCAGCATTCAAGAAACACCGTTAAAGAAAAAACAACATTTGTCCTCTAATCTGTGAAAATACAGTCTACAGACAAATTCCAGAATAAAAAGGTCTTAAGTCAAATAAAATCATAGTTATTCTGTTCTAGATCATAACATTTAGTTTTAGTCTACATCAAAATCTGAAATGATCTGAGAATCTATCTGAAATCATGCGCCTGCACTTCATCTTTCTGTTCACGAGAGTCGTGCAAACTGAACGTGACGGCACATGCACAGAATAAGAAGAGATGAGAGACTCCGGGTACTGAACAGATTTCAATCGACAAACATGATCTCGGAGGAAAAAGCTGGAAAACACACAGCATTGTCTTTCATGACTTTCTGACTGTACGATTTACATACCCAATGAGCATGAAGTTCACGAAAACGTACCTAATTTTGGATTTTCAAAGTCACCGTACCATCTGCTTTTTTTGTACCGCAACAAACACCCACATACACACACACACACCACACTAACAGCCCACCCCCGCCTGAGCACCCCACCACCACCCCCTGTCGCTTGCGACTCCAAAGTTTCCACTGTATTTGTCTCATGAATATGCTAATTGTGCGTGTTCCTCTGCCAAATGTGAGATGTTTCTGAAGTAACAGATATAGTTCCAATAAAAAAAGATAGTGTCTACAACTGGCTGTTAAAAGGGAAAAAAGATGTGATAAGCATAGGAAAGGAGGATGTCAGTTTCGCTCTATTCACCCTTGAGTTCCCTCTTTGTTCGGCTCTTTCTGACTTTTCCTTTGTCTTTTCGGTTTCGGGGGGGGTGGGGAAACTATTTGGACATAATTCTGCAAACAGCTTTTAAAACTGCAAAATGACTAATATCTCGTTGCTCACTGTGGCATTTAAGAAGAAAAAAAAACATCTTTTGACCTTCGCTTCCCTTCAAGAGAAGAATTACTCCAGCAGCTGAAGAATCATCATCTCCATCTGAAACCAAGCGTACATGCGGTAAGTTTGTGTGTGTGGGAGAGAGGGAGAGGTAGAGAGAGAGAGAGAGAGAGAGAGAGAGACTCTGGTATCTTAAGTCATTACGAACCCAATCTCCCTGACAGGACGCTGTGTTGTCTAGGTGACAGAAAAGAGCGTAATGCACTTCACTTCTGTTGCAAATGTGTCCCTGGATTGCAAAGGTTTTGCTGAAAATGTCATGTCCATCATTTCCCACCGGAGGATAGTTACATTCTTATTTTGTGCCATATTTTCTGGTAATTTTTCGCTTCCTTCCCTTTGTTCGACCTCTGATGGGGGAATAACTGAACAAATTTGCTTGCACAATCTGAGAGTCTGACACAATCGTCCTCTTAAGAGGCACACCAGAGTTCCTAATTGAAGTCAATTGCTATCATAAGCTGCTCGAAAGCTGTAATGTCACTGATTATCTTGACGTTTGGCTTTAAAATGGGTCCTGTGGCTGCAGAGGTTATTAAGGAGTTGTGCTTATGTAACTGGTGTAATTGGGAGTACAAACAGGTTTTGTCTGTGGCTACGAACCCCGACCAGGCACTGTGAGACCGACAGGACAGGAAGCAGAAGATGAAAACCACAATCTGCCTCCGATAGCGTTTTCAATGTATTCCTTTGCCCTATTAAACAAAACCTATATGACATCATGAATATACAGTCGTGGTCCCCAGATGTTTAACCCTACTCACCTCAGTGATCTCCTGATATTTACACACATGAGGTTGAGGTAATGGTTTAATGGAAATGTATTGACTTGGATCAACTTTGGTAATAATATTTGTTGGATGAATCCTAACAATGGATTTTTTTCAATCTAGAGGAACCAGAAGATCATATTTTTATGTAGCAAGTGAAATATCATAAAAATATGTGTTTTTTAACCACAGTTCCTTCTCCCTTTTAAACAAACCGAGAGGACATTACATAGATTCTTAGTCACGACGATATTGGCCGTTGACCTTTTTCATCTCTTGATTTTCATACAAACTCCACACAGGCGACAATTCTCTGATGCATTTTATATCAGACAAAACAAAGACTCAGAATATGTCACCTTGGACTTGTTTTCCTTTCTGTTTGCTATTTATTTATATTATTTGTTTTCTTCAAAATTACATGGTTGACTTCACCTCTTTCGAAAAAGAAAATGTTTGCTGTTTGACGAGGGGTTTTATCCATAAAGGTTCAAAACAACTCGTCTGTGGCAGGATTTTATCAGAACTTTAGAAATTACCAAAAAAAAGGAATCTCTTTTAAAAAGGTTGTAATTGTCTACATGAAATGATTCTTTATTTCTTTAAGCCACTCTTTGGTTGGATTAGAGACAAGCAGCATCAGTGACGAGGGGTTGCAGGACACATTTTATTTTAAAGAGTCTCGAGTCAAAACCATTGGGAACTTCTGGTCAAGGGCAAGTCCAGTCCCAAAGGGTCCAAACCTTGAAATATGTATATGAGGAACCTGAAATGTCCTCATACATCAAAAATATTAATAAATCTGTTTCTGACATTTGCAGCAGGATGTCGTCCGTCTCCTTGAACGAACCACGTCTGACACATTCTTTTTATCTACACTGTACAAAAGGCAAAAACATTCTTTTTTTATTTGTTCTGCATTCCAAGGACAAAGACACAAAATATCCCGGTGTGAATTCAGGAAGCAAATTGCTGCGGGATCCTGGGTCCAGACGGCGTGGACACACAAGATGGGCTCAGTTCCAGTTTTTTAAGAATTATCCTCATATTGGCCGGGACACCCACAGGTACAGATACCCACATGAGGTCTTAACATGCCTGGGGAATTAAAGAGGGGCCAAAAGGTGTACCAATGTTCGACAAATGTAATTTCAGATACAGTTATCTCCTTTGGGTTTGAAATGTGAATGAATACGAGGGATTTGGAAGATTAAGGAGAAGACTGAAGAAGCTATGATGAGAGGAATTATACATTTTCATGGAGCCTTGACAGTGAATGAACCGACAAAACCAGACAAAACGTTCTATCAATGTGAATCATGGATAAAACCAGTTCAGCAGCATAATGGCTACAGTGTGTATGTGGAATAGCTGCAATGTATTTCATTTAGATGAATGCAACTATTCTCCAGTTGTGTTGGAATCTGTAGCACAAGTTGCGCCCTCACACAAACGGTGAATGCTTTTGGATCCCTTCAAGGTCTTCCACCAGGAAACTGGCTTTTCGCAAAAAATCCCTGCATATGACCAAATCACAAGCATCCTTCTAACTTCTTTGTTTGTGGTTCAATATTTCCTCAGTGGGTGGGATACCACGAGCGTTTCTACACAAGCACCAGCGCAATGGTGGGAACAATGGTGCTTGATTTACAATCATGCAGCTGCGTCCATTGCCAGCTGTCCCCACCCCCCCCCCCACAAACAGCAATGGCCTCGTGGCCCAGCCGTTCTCCACGGGGGTCCGCAAACCAGCCGCCAGAGACAACGCTTGCGGAAGCCAACTGTGGCACATGACTCCACCAGTTAAATTGGGCCAATTAGCTCGCATGCCAATAAGTGCTTCCCGCGTTGCATTTCCCAGTGGAAAAAAAAAGAAGTCCTCCAAATTCACAATGCAGAATTTCTTTTCCTCTTTATCTACTTCTTTTCGTGCACCTCCTCTTTCACTTCACTTCAACTTGTTAAATACGCTAAATTCCAAAGTTGTGAGATGAGCAGGTTGGTAACATGACTCACGTCATTAATGAGGCAATTAAACTGTTGCACAAGTCAAAATTTTCGACTGAATCGTCTCAAGCTTTATTTTTAACTGCACTTTTACCCATACTGCAGATTTACCCATTGTCCCCCTAAACTCTTTATCGCCACAGCACAGACAACCATTTCAGTATGCATCGAAACAGCGGCTCACTTTTTCCCCTCCGCTCGCTCTCCCACCTCTCTCTCCCCCTTTTCCACCAATCTCCTGCCTATCTCGCCATCAGACAAAAATATCTGCGATGAAGACATCTGCTGGACAGCTTGTCATGGGCGCTGGAAATGGAGAAACTGAAGGGATCTGAATGATCTGTCTGTGCCAGAATTACTGCCCACTTCATTACAGAGAGGAATGGGCAGATATGCCAAAAGATAAAGGAAAGAACTGCAGAGTATTTCTGGCTGTAGCAAAGGGGCTACTCACATTTAGAAAAGCAAAGACAATCCCACATACATATTGCATTCACTCAAATTGTTTAAATAGGCTTTGTGTACTTTTTATTAAATATAAAACAGAATAACACAAGTGTCACTACTGAGAAACTCCAATAATTTAACATTCTCTGACAACTAATTCTCATTATAAACCATAAAGAAGATTTGGTTTATTATCAAAAACTTGACTCCGGCTTCAAAGCTGCTGTAATTGAATTGTTCACTGGGGCTCAGATTTGTGTCCTCAATAAAAATGTTAACAGAATTCTGCTTCGTTTTCTCTGCCTCCTCTCTAGACAAACCCCACCCCCCCCCCCCCCCAGTTTTCATCCCCCTTTCCTCCCTCGTCTCTCTCTGGCAGTCGAGAGTTTCTGTTGCATGCGGTAAAAAAATGGATCGCCGCTGATTAGGAAAAGACAAAACTAATCAGGAATTAAGGTACCCATGTCCCCGCTGCCACTCAAGATTTCAGACAGTACCCGCAAGCTGTTTCTCACAAGCCCAAAGAGGCAAGTAGCTGAGTGTAGCATGAGTGGCTGTTTTGTCTTGAATTAATCATGTAAAGCGGATACGCAGCTCAACAGAGGAACAAATAAAGTGGAGAATAAACAAGTTGAACCTTGATTTAGGTGCAAATAAAACATTAAGGAATATTGTTTTTCTCTAATCTTGATTCCTTGCACGTTAAGCCTGAGCTCCGTGTTTCTAAATGCTGAGCAGTGTATTCTTTCATTATGGTGGACTGGCACGGTGATCCCCGTCACGGCACTTCTGTCAAGGCCATTACCAAAATTGCTTGCCAAATTAATCTATGTCATACTCTGAATTCACTTCCCATCAGTGGAAGTACCGAAGCCCATTGGAGTCGTTTCCAGACTTTAAAGAAAAGAAAAAAGTGCAAGTTAAAGATGCTGTGGCGAAGTGCTTTTATTAAGCCCTGAGCACAACCTATGAATTATTAAAAACACGGGTGTATCTATAGACCCTCAAACCATTAGCCTGGGAGCGAAAGGCATCCTGGAGTACATTCAAAAATACCTCATCCCTCCGTACTCGCAAAGTCCTGACAGCGCTTCCTCGTGATTGAAGAAGTTGGGACACGTTGGGGTTTTAAACCCAACCCCTCTGAATTTTTCAACAGCTGCAGCTGCAGTTAAAGCACCATTAAGGCACAAAAGCCAAACTGCTGTGGCTCTCCATAATAGATGGAATAACAAGGTATTTATTGGCCGAAATATTACGAGCACTTATCTGAGGGGGAGGCAGCTTTGGAACGCTGCAGTGTCTGGAAGTGGGAAAGCAAATGTACAACAGTGACTTTAAATGGGCCCTGACAAAAAGGTCACATGTCGTGTTGCTCCATTCGAACTCGCTGTGCTGTTGGTGGAACAACAAACCATCGTTATACAACAGCTTTTCTGTTTTACTGCAGTTAAAATAGCACAAGGAAATGAACAATCTTTATTAAACCTGCTCTAATCAATGTGTAATGCAGGTGTGCCCACTGATAGCTCACATCGCAGCGTTTTAGCCTCTTTCAGCTCATTGTTTTGGTTTTACTGGCAAGAAACACAAATCAGCTCACAGGTTGTGAGGAAACCAAAATATAAGCTGGTATGGAGATGACATACAAGGTGAATAAGAATTAGCTGCAGGTACACTTACCTTCAGGTTTACCTCCACATGAAAGAGTTGAGATAAATGGCTGATTTTAAACCCAACTGATTAAACCTTTTTTTTTTAATAAGGTCACAAGTACAGTATTACCACAACCCATAGGAATGATGAGATTAAGACCCAAGTGGAAATATATTGGAATGATCCTTCACAAATGAAGTGAAAATGAATTCCATTTGTGTGGCTAATGAAAATTTCAACAGACACCCCCCCACCCCCATCTCCTCTAAGGGGCAATTTCCCAGACCTCAGTCCTGTTCATTAGCCAGCATGTGCTACCTACCTACACCCACCAATGAGAGCGGAGCGTGTGTGCGGTGATGGAAATGGAGATGGATGTCTTACCCCCAGACGCAGGGCATTCGGCTCATTCAAGTGGCAGGTAGCTACGAGCTGTCAACCACACACGTACAGCTTCTTTCCCCCCCAACACTCCTCCACCAAAGCACCCACTTCCCCACTTCATCCCACTCCTCCACCTTCCCAATAACCCCATTCCCCCAGGGGAAGCATCCAGAGCTGGCTCCTTCTCCTAATTACCCATGGGCCCCTGAAACGCTCCAGCTGTTTAGAGTAGTGGGACCACTGCAGGAGCAGGAGGCGCAGCAGCAGCTGAAGAGTTTGGGCGTGAAATGGAGCCTGATTAAAAGTTTTAAAGTGCCTCGGAAGACAAAATAGGGAAGATTCAGACGAGTCGAAGAAGCTTCTCACATGTAGATTGAAAGAAAGGACTTTTTAATTTCTAATATTTAGCGTCGGGTCATCTACGCAGTTGTTTCCGTCCGACAAGCGTTCCCAGAGGACTGATGCAGAACGCATTTGAAAGGCAAATCCATTGATCACATGGACTGGAATGTTCGGTGAACAGATAAAACGACTGCCAGTTTGACAACTGACAAACTGACACTGATTGATAGATCAGCGCTTAACTGACTCAGACCTCTGACAAACACGCGGCCTAAATTGCTTACAAATGGATTGATGGAGTGATTGGCCTTGCAGGGGGGGTTCACAGAGCAAGCATTTACACCCACCGTCTCTTCTGCGGCGGTCCAACGTCGACTTGGCAGGGCCAGAGGAGATGTAGAGGAAGCCATCCATGAAGAGGGAGACGTCAGACAGGGAGGGATCCTCCGACCACTGCTCGAGTCTGGGGAAATCTATAAAAGAGGTTAGAGACACAGTAGATGAGGGAGGAAATGGTTTTCCCCAGTGAATGTAATGGTGCACCAATTCCTTTCCTTCTCCTGCTCTGGTGTGTCACAAATTCACCTCCACCTGCAAATGAAAAATAATTTCTATTGTCCTTGACCCACAGTCAATGTAGAGCACAGGACAAAAACATAACAAAACATCGGAAGACTATCTGGGGTAAGTTAACTTTTAACTTTTAGGATCAGATGTGATAACTTTTTCTTGGTAAAGTATATTTGTTGCCATATAATGTCTATTATATCTGATCCTACTTTTAACAGAAAGAATTCTGATATTGCACCCAAATTACATGTTGGATCATTTATTGTAGATACATTATAGGTGGCAAATACACTGTGATATATACATATATACTAATATAATGTTTTGGAGATACATGGTTTTCACATTATTGAGGTAGTTGAAATTCTTAATATAAATTGAGTGAAACGGTTCTTGAGGTATTGAGAAATTTGCCACACAGGATTTCCCACATTAATGATCTGTCAAGTTGTCGAGCCTCCATCATCATCGTGGTTGATATATTTATATACTATTAAAAAAAAAAACATTATGGTAAAACTCCCAGATTAAGATCGGATGAATCCGAGACGTGACACTATCTTCTCCTCCCACTCTTACTCAAATATAAAATCCCGTCCTGCAACCAGAATAGACATGAATACTCGAGCCCCTGAATTCCCCACCAGCTTTATGACCGCTGTTCCTCAACCTGCACTCTGACCTCCATGTAGAGGATGTTTCCCTGCAGGCATCAGTAAAGAGGCACAACATAATCTTCTCTTTCCACAAACAGCATAAAACACGATTATACAAACTGCTATTAATATGGTCATGACTTTGTCACATGGTCATTCTCTATGCAAAGTCAGAGATAAAGGTTTCCTGATGGCGTTTTAATGCACCGACCTTCATGTACTGTATCTGTTACGCTTTGTCCTCTCTTCATCTTTGTCCATTTAATTTAGAGGCCTCCACTCGCTTCATCTCTTTTTTTCTCTCTCACCACTCATCCTTTCTCGCTGGCTTTGAGAGTTCCCCACATTCAACCTTATCATTCTCAAATTCAATTAGCCTCAATTCTGGAGTTCAATTGTCTGCCGGAGCCTTGGCAATATCTTGGTGATGTTATCATCCACCACCTCCAGCTCTCTCATCAGGCAAGGTAAAATAACTTTAATTGAAACCACTTTTAATTGATGTGACATTTTCACCCTGCACTGACAGCACATATGCCTCGTCTCAATGCCGCGTATCATTTCACGCCGAGAAGAAAAAAATCTGTTAATTTAACGAGGCGGCTTGGTGTGTTCGTCGTGTGGTCTCATGTGTCGAGCTCATTAATTGTGCCCATAGGCGCATTAATGATCTTTAAATTACTGTGGAATTTTACTAATACATTTACATAATATTCTGAAGAAATGGAAATAAATGGATGTCCAATATCACACGCAAGCACCTCAATTAAACCATTTTTCAAGCTTTATCTTACAAATTGATGATGACATGAATGCAAAGCACATTCTGGATGCATTTTACAGTATCCAACAACTTGTCTTACTGCAATTAATCTTCTAGTTGCGAGAAAAAACTAGCAATGAAGGTATATATAAGAAATATGACACAATGTAATGTAATGTGATATGATTGGGAGCCTGAGAGATTTTTCCAGAGCCTTTATACTGTGGTATCTAACCATTCAGATCTCTGTGCATATGAGGCCATTGTGAACCATGTTACCTAGTTACCATATATTTTGCAGTCTCACCTATAAGGTTATTTTAAAGAGATGTATTTTGCTCAAACTTGTGTTTATAATTTTTATTTGGATTATCACTGGTTCACATGCTCTATTGTTCAGAAAACACATCACTCTCCTCAGACTGTCCAATGTTGCAGCAACACCGTCAATCTGTCAATGACGTACTTGGTGTAGCTCGAGTGTTTAACACTCACTTGTTATATCAGGGTCGACTAAATTAGTTTCAAAAGTTGTTTGTACCAACTTTTATTTCTTGAAGTCTCAGTGGTCGTACCTCAATACAGGATGATGCTAGAAATCAAATTGAATGTAGAGACAATAAATCCTCTGTGTCACTTGAAAGTTTTACTTCTGGATGTTTGTCATACTGTTTCAATTAGCATCTCTCTGTGTGCGAGACGGCTGCTGTGTGCGCCTGCATTGTCTTGTTGTGATGCCGCTGTATGTGTGATTTGTTTTCAGATGTCTGTAAAATACATTTTGATCTCAGTGAGACTTCTTGATTAAATTGCTAAATGAAAATGGATCCCCCAACGCTGTTATTACAGAGTGAAGACTGGGCGATATAACAAAATGAAAAAAACAAGAGACAACAACAAAAAAAAAAATCCTCCATGGTCCATTAGCTGTGTATCCAGTAGCATACACAATAAAATCAACCACAACATGATGTCTGACATGACGCGAGCATTTTAATACATCGCGGTCAGCAACTGCAATATGTTTTTTGATGTCATCCCAAAGAGGCAGAGCCAATCAGGTGACATAAAGCCTCAGCGACGCTCTGGAGCATCATCTGTAATCTGAGTCTAACAGGGAGAATGTGTCTGCCAATAGCAGCGTCATAAATACATGGAATCTGACTTTAATGAATTTAATCAGCCAACTGCAGGTAGGCGAGTCTCTGACACATACACACATGCTCACAAATACACACAACTGTCCCAGCACGCAGGCTGAGGGAATGTAAATAAGCCGGTGGTTGATGCTGTGGCACACTCTCGCTCGCTCTCTCTCTCTCTGTGTGAGCCTTGTTACAACAGTCCCTCTGGGCCCCTAAAGCTGGACTCCGTTAAGATAGGACTGTGATGTCTGTGGGGGCGGCGGTTGAGAAGTCTGGCCTGCGCTGATTGGCTCGGTCCCCAGTGAAGGGAGGTGACATGACAGAGTGCTCAATTAGCCATCTGGTCGCCCACGGCAACGGTCACAAAGTGGTGCCCGACAAGCAGCGGACAGTGGGGTAATCAGAGGCTCTCGCTCGCTCTCTCGCTCACACACACACACAAACGCAGAAATGGAGCCACATAGTGGATCATAACACAAAGGGCGGACATATGCAAGACATCATGTAGAAGTCAAAGATAAATGAGACCAGAAGGCGTAAAAAGTCAAATAATTCAATCATCACAGAAATGAAGCCAGGGTTGTTACAGAGGGCAGCACAGTGGGGCAGTGTCACCTCATAGCAAGAAGGTTACTGGTTCGAATCCCAGTTCGGCCAGGGCATTTCTGTGTGCAGTTCACATGTTGTCCTTTTCTCAGGGATCCTCCCACAGGTCAATGACATGAAGATATGGGGTTTGGTTTACTCATTAAATCAAACTTACTAGGGAAATGAATACATAAACAAACATCTGTGATACTGTAGGAACTGCCGAGAATAACATTAATTTAACAGGTGCTTTGACTTTTAAGTTTGGTTAAAGTCCCCTCTATTAACATGGAGGAGGCAAGATTAAGATTAGGTACTGCAGCCAGCGAAGTGGTACGGATAAGGGATGTATGTATTTACTGAGATATGTACCCACAGGGCACAAATTAATTCTCTGGCCAATGACACCTCAAGCTAATTCTTCAAAATGAAAAGCCATTCAGCACAGAGACTCACCATCAGGGGGAAAAAGTTGAATTTTCACAAACTCAAACAGGAACGACGCAGACAAGCACTGAAAAACTCTCAGAGCCTTATAATGTTGTAAAAACAGGGTGGAATAGAGACACAAGAAGAAACAGGCCCTTTGGTTTACTGCTTCTTTATATTTCTATATATGTGTGAATGTGTGTGTGTGTGTGTACTGGTGTTCATCTTTTTATTATACACACCGAAAGCCTGCTGGATTAATTTTTAATGTGCTGCAAGATTCAGAGATTCAAGGCGTCACGAATGCTCGGGTGGCAACAATAAAAACTTGGTTGCCTCCAAATCTATGGTGTGTCATTTAAGAAGAAGCGGAATGATGTGAACGTCGCTGTTTAGCTTGGTTTTATAGTACAATGGCCCCCTGGGTGGAGCGGAGAGCCGCCATAAACTGGAATTTACCTGTTTATACTTCTCTGTTTACGGTTGCAGGCATTAGCTAATACGCTCATCCAGAGATTTACAGTGAAGCGGCCGGCAGCGATTCAGTGTCACCCTTCAAGAAAAACAAGTTGATCGGGGTGCAAATCAAAAATGTGACCTTGAAGTTGAGTTTGGCCTCTGACAAATACTTCTGATATTTCTCTGTATAACAGTTTTATGTTGAAGATGTCTCTTATAGCTTGAAACCCACAGACGATAATCACTCACCTGAAATCTCTTGAGCTTTATAGCATCTTTAAGCTCATAGTTTTGTTTTTTCAGGCCAGTGACTTTAATATTTTTGCTCACCGCTTTCATCAGCATCATTTTCAGACTGTACACAACTAGTTAATGAATTCAGAGTCCGTCTACACCTGACATATGCTTCGTATTCGGATTGTATCTAGATGTGATATTAACCTTATCTGCCTCACATTTGCTGTAAGTATTGTTAATGGCCAAAGGAAGTACTTTTGCGCACCTTTATCGAAATTAAATTAAGAGTAGAAGCTTTGCAGAGACAGTCATTCATTTTTAATGAGTTTTATTCTTTTAAAATTCTTCTTTTTGTTTAAATGGTGCCATTTCTTTCCACCTAAGAAAAAATAATTAGAAAATGTTCCCGATCTGTCTTTGCTCCCATGACGAAAACATAACGTGACAAAAGACCTTGTTCCACATACATGTTTTTGATGGTTAATTTTATTTATGTGGTCTTTGCAGCCTCCTGAGTGTAAGATATGGGAATACAAGGGACAGAGAAAAATGATATATGAGGTTAAAATTATACAAGTAGCCACCACAGTGGAAGCCTTTGACTATAGGGGATAGAGCCATCATTGAAGCTGCCCACAGGGGTTGCTGGAGTGCGAAGAAACACCACCTCCGAGAGCTGCCACCGGCTTGTTTTCTAATGGAATCCGGGATGGGGGATATGTAAATGAACATGCTCCTGCAGTATCTCGGGGTGCTTTGGGGCGAGCAGGTGTGGGCGGGAGAACGAGGTCCGTCTAGGCCGGCGCTCATGCACACGCAGGGAGAAGGAGCTAATGAAGTGGCGATGCTCCGGCATCAGTGGATGTCCTCACACCGGAGCTACAAATGAGCTGCTGTGGAGGGAAGGGACAGAGCAGAGGCTGCAGGGAGAGGCGAGCTGACAGCTTTGTTTTGATTCTCTATATCCAAAGGGAAAAAGAATGTTTTCCCCTATTTGTATTTTTACAAACCCACTGTGAAATGACGTAGCGCAGTAAGAGCTACTCCAATTTAGACTTTAGCTGACAAGGCCGAGAATTGCTCGGGTTGGCGATTGTTTATTACCGGCTTATTCCAGCCTCCCGCCAGGGAGACGGTGATTTCTGTAAAGTTTGTTGTCGTTTCATTCAGCGCAGTGTCTGGTTTTTGCAGCACCATGTGGCGGTGGAACGAGGGCCTGAGATGTGCCCTTGTTGTGGATGTGTGGTTTATAAGACAAACAAAATCAAGGAAAACAAGCACACGTGCGCCGCAGGACCACACATAATGGCCCGCTGCTGCCACCAGATGAAATCCTTATAACTGCCTTTATGTTACCTTGCATGTCTGTGACCATTTTCCAAGGCTGGGGTCTTTAAAACTCTATGACAACCCTTAATTCTGTCTTGTCCTCTAAACTGCCTGTTTTATTTTTCCGTCTCTACTGTATCATCTCTGTCAGCACCACGCGATACAGTGGGGACGCCGTCATGTGGGTATTGAATTGTTCCCGCTTCCTGTCAGACAAAACACAGCGCTCAACAACTGAGAAAATAAAAAGTTCAATTTCTGTTTAATCAGAGTTTTCACAAGTTTTCTCTGTGAACTCCAGGGGCTTTTCACAGCTTTGTGTGTAATGTGACCGACTGTAGGAAAATGTCATAGAGGGAATTTGGACAGTATTCTGTGTGGAGTCTTAATCTTCTCCACACAACACAACAGTCTGGTTCTTCACCGCTGTTCCACAAATTAGATTTGTTTTGTATTATTGAACGAGAAACTTTTTGACCCTGTTGGATAAGGACGGCAGCTGACTGGTCAGTTCAAACCACTGATGATGTGACGTCCGCCCTTCTTCTAATTCATGATGTGCATCCTGTCATCTGTGCATTAGTGATGAATCTATCTTTTTTTTTGTAAAATACAAACGTTAAACACTTTTTTTGCAATGTTCAAATTGTAAAACCAAAGTTTTCATCTCAGCAAACACGTCTGTGAAAGGCTCACGTTGGTCTACAGTCAACCCTGATAGTGAATCTGTAGCTGAGTCTGACCACAGCGCTTGTTGCCTGCAGGGGTCACTCAGTGTAGTTGGACATCCATCACGACAGAAAGAGTCCGGACGGCTCGGAGTTTGTCTAATGATGAAGCCCCAAACAATCTCCAGACACATGATGAGAAGACGGACGCCGCTTCTATGCTCCACATTTCAGGTGGACACGTCTACACGCATGAATGTGTGTGCGTCCGTTCCCTGTGTCAGCATGCGAGTCTTCTGGCACACCTTGAAGTAATGGCCGTCACCATGGCGACCAGGTGACCCGTGCTAGCAATTAGGAGTCGCTAACAGGCTCGGAGCAGACGAGTGTTCACAGATGCGCCATACATTATGTAAAACACAGTCCCAGAGCAAGTCCCCCTCAGCCTCCAACTAGCGGCCTCGCCTCGCTCTTTTACTTTTATACATTATCATCATCAGTCGCACAAATGACACACACACACACACACACACGTCATGAGAGAGCAACGCACAGCTGAGCCGCGCCTCCGATGCCGGGAACATGAGATGGGTGATGCAAAAGAGAGTTGAGGGAAAGTGCAAAATAAAAAAATAAAAATCATAATTTTACTGGGAACTCGCTGGGTTCTAATTTGTGGGGTTTTTTGCCTTAATTTCATATTCATGGCAGAGGGAGAATAAAAACCTCCCACTGTGTTTTTATAAACGTGGCGGTGCAGCGGTGAGGTGACTTTAAAACATGATTGGCTTGTTAGAGTATACAAACAATGGGGCTGAATATATGCGACGCCGATGGTTGTAAAAGTCCAAATTGCACACCTAGTTTAAAAGTCTTTTCACAGATTTATATCTTTTGTGTGTCTGTTTCAAAGCAGCTTTCTGAGCTCCTTTTTTAATATAACGGTCTGTCCAGTAATTATGAAAAAATATCTCCTCAGATTCGGTGGACCAGCACTGGGGAACGTTTTTTTTTTCCTGTCAAGGGCCATTTCAGTTTTTATAGCATCCTTTGAGGGCCGTTCTAAATTATTGAACTCATACATAACACTAACTTTTCTAATGCTCGTGTCAGATGGTAGTGGTGATGATGCCACTCACTTTAGTTTGAGCCAGAACAACTCACTCAAGAAAATCGTCAGTGATTTTACACACAAAATAATTGGGTGGTATTTAATATGGCTGTTGTGCAGGACAGAGAAAAGTTGGACATTTCTTGCAGTGTCCTTCTGGGTTTTCTATTTTGAACGGTATCAGTAAACTTTTGATGAGGGTTAAATCTGCCACTGTTAGGTGTGAAGTCCATGTGTGCTGTGAAAGTGTCAAAGTTTCTTACCAGAGAGTTTGTTCTGGTGCAGAAACTCCATCTGCAGCTTCTGTCCGGAACGTTGAGCCAAGCGATAGGGGGTGGAGTAGGTTGGATCTCCGGTGGCACACATTACATCTGCCCCGCTGAAGACCAGCGCCATCGTCTGCAGCACGTCAGGCGACACCACAGCTGCACAAAGCGCCTGAGCACACATAAAACAAGATAGAGGATGGCATTGAGACGTTCTGCGCTGTCTCTCGGCCCACTCCGAGACACATGAGAGCTCAGCACCATTCATAAAATTCTTCAATAATGTATGTGCAAGATAAAAACTGTATTTGTAATTTCAATGTGTTTGTAAATCAGATTCTTGGAGCCGAGTATTCTGTGGTTACAAATCTTATTTATACGAGTCCACCTTAACGTTTCCTGGTGTGATGGAATCATAAAAGACTGAATAAGAGCAGCCGCGGCTCATTTCTTTTCTAAGCAGCTTTCTACAGCTGGATTAATACCTTTAAAAATGTCACATCCCAGACAGTGAACCAGTGAGTATGGTCTCGCTTCCCAATGCAGGGGGAAGCAGCCCGGTGTGTCTCCGTCTCTACGGCAGTTTGATAGAGGACAAAGAGTCTATAAAGCTGCGTCAGAAAATCATATAAAGTTTAGAATTGAGTTTCAGCGCCAATCTCAAAAGAGAAGTTAAAATAAGATGGAATTTTAATGCTCCCAGTGGGAATAATAAAACGTCTAATCCCTTTGAAAAGGGGGAATGTGGCAAATGAGAACAGGACAAATGGGCCATATTAAATATAATGAAACTAACAATGAGAGCAAAATAAGAGCAGTGGAGCATGAAAGTGAAATGCGAAGAGTGAATTTTTTTTTGTAGCTGTATGAAAAAACAAAGACAAAAAATATACCGTGTACAATATGAAATACACAACACATTTCAAGAACTACAAATACTGCTCTACGGTTGAATGCCACCCGACTAATCCAATCAAATTGTGCCAAATTTAAAAAGGATTCTCTCGAAGCGTTAACTCGTTCATGAGGGATCTTGACATTTAACATCCAAGCTTTGACCAGTTTCCCTTCGAGTCCATCTGAACGCTGTGTGTGTTGACAACCTGAAAACATCATGCCTGCGGCTGCAGGCTGATGAAGGTCATTTTAAAAATCAGGGCATCACAGTTGAAATATTTCAACTTTTACTCTCTAAAAGTGAGTCGGGGTTTCAGATCCTGCAAATTTCCATAATGCAGCTTAATAGAATCTTTCTTTATCGCTGTTGGCGAAGTGGCGTCATCATTCAAACTTCATGCAACACAGGTTCTCGCATTTATTCAAAGTTTTGAGATATTTTCTTAAGACTTGCTGCACCAAAGTGACATTTTCAGACTGTTTAAATAAGCTACAGAAAACTCTGCATAAGAATATCTGTTTTATGTAAAAATACAGTCGGGGAATTCCATGTTCAATCATTCCAATATTACTATCGAGGAAAAAAGTATCTACAGAAAAACAGACTGAACCGCCTCTTTTCTCTGAAGTCTCTTTTTACACATTGAATCTTATTTAGTGCCAGCACCCAGTGGCCATTAAAAGAACTGCACCACTGCGCTGCTTTCACCCCTCAGTCATGTAGGGACACGCCTGTTCTCCAGGTCACTTCCTCCTTTAGTCGGGGCAGATGACTTTGCTAATGCCCTCACTGTTTAGCAATGCCGACGCGTTTTGTTAAATCTATTCACCTGTTTCATTCTGCGAGCCGGAAGACAAGAGGGGAGATGAAAGAGTCGACAGAATATATTCTGACCGAGGAAAAACATTTTCTCTGTGTCTGTCTCTTCCCATCAGCCCAGTCAATTGATGTGACATTGTGCACGATGACCCGCAACAAAGTGGATCAACAGAGGAGTCGAGTGGCAAGCGGTGGAATTTCAACGAGACGACCTCGCCTTTCATCGGACTTAGACCGAGTCAGCAAGCGGCATCGATCCGCGGCAAACAAGCGAGATCCGACTGAAAGTGAGGCACGGCGAGGCTGCGCATGTACACACAGGCAAAGCACACACAAGCACAGACAAAGCACCTGTCAATATCACCTGCCAGTCCACACACAGGGATAAAGATCCTCAAGTATGTGTGTGTTTATGGATTCAATTATTTCTATTTGTGTGCAAGGTTTGCGCAAAAAAGAATAATTACTCCTCAACAGATAATGGATTTATGGAACGATATCATTAGTTTCTTCTCTCTACGTCTTTTTTTTCTCTCGAACACGCGATGGGGTCAGATCATGGCAAAATAGTCCCATGTAACCTGGCCTTATTCTGTATCGTCTCTGGAAATGACCTTCCGTGTCATGGCAATTACCGCGGCCGCTAGGGGGTTTTCATGCGTGTTGGTGCGCGAGGAAATGATATAAGAGGTTCCTTTGACACCCCCTCCTCTCTAGGTCATGCGGCCTGCGGAGACTCCGTGGAGGTCACCGGGATATGAGCTTCTAATAGGGAACATGGGACAGAGAGTGCGAGGGAGGGATGGATGAAAATGAAGGAAGCGAAAACAACTCAACAGAATAAACAGACGCGTTCGAGATTATGCAATTGACACAATCAGGTTTAAAATCACCTCTGCACCTTTCTAGTTTCATTTTATTGCTCCGACTGACGCTTAAAACAGTGATTTACAGAACGCAGCGAGTACGTTTCATGACCCTGAGGCCCATAAAACCTGTTAAAAGGCCATTGCATGATTTCAAAAATGCATGAATGTCAATGAGGAAATTGCTCGTATTATTGTCTTTGCTCAAGAGAAGCCTCCCTAAGGAATAGGTTTTATATAGCTCTTTATTTTTTTTCATATTCACACCCGTGTTACAGTAAGTAAATGTGACACAGAAGTGGAACGTGTCCAATGAGATTAGACTCAGTGTCCTTGTTTACGATTTTATTCTTTATAGGTTGCTTGTGATTTATTACTTCATACAAACATTTGCGGAGCTGTTGGGAAGAGTGTTTATTATTTTATCAAACACATACAAACACATATGTTGAATCATGGTGTGTGTAATGCCTCCATGACACACTGATCCCTATCAAATCTGTTGAGCCTGTTTATAAAGCCAGTCTAGACAGCAGGAAGGCAAACACAAACACCCACTTCCACTTTTTTTTCGATTGCCATCTTCCTCTCTCATATACACACACACACACACACACACACACACACACACTTTGCACTCTCAGACTCACAAATTAAATGGGTTTACAAGTGGTGAGGGCCGTGCAAATCCACAATTCATCAAGAGGCCTCCAGTGGACCTTCTGCAGGACTTCCAGAGGGTCCGCCTCTTCACACAGACGATCATATTTATTTTTTTTCTTTGGGTGTTTTGATGTAGCAAGTTTTCATATTGCTCACTAAGATTTGAAAAGCATGAACAATCTGAATTTGTAAATTTACTTTTGTCCATCGGTGGCGATCCTCGTCGATATAATAAAGCGCAAAGGAAAGGAAACGTTTTACACATTCAATCACATCCCGACTGTAATTGTTTCATTTGTGAATCAGTCTTGTGATGAAAATATATTTCACTTGCATTCAGAATTTTCAATTTCATACCTAAAATTGTACTTTTATTTTGTAGTCCAGCCTAAGAGGATAGTCTTTACATAAAGTTGGACGACATGACAGCTCCACAAAAGAGAAGCCAAAAATCAAATCAACAATCACTACTGTGCAGACTCCTGCTCCAGATGTCTTCAGCTTAAGATGTCAGCGTTCATATCCAGGATATTCTGGCTTCATTTCTGGGAGCGAGTGGGGACTTGTCATCCATCTTTATAGAAAGTGTATGCCTGAGAGGCTCATAAGGCTGATCTTGCCTTAACAGTACTCACAAGCAGAATCCCATGGACTGTTGTGCTCCAATGGAGCGAGAACTGTTTGTTCCAAAGAACTCGAAGTGGACATAAACATTTGAAATGTGAAGGCTTTGCTCTAATGCAGTGAGGTATTGTTTTGTCTGAATTTTGTGATTTAAGAATATTTGTTTTGTTTTTTTTGTATGTTTTAATTTTAACACTGGATTTGGAGAAAAGAAATCCACGAGTCAGCCTGTGCCATACTATCTGATATGGTTGCTATATAATGTAGCAGAGCTGCATATGAACACCATTAACAACCGTTGAGAGGAATCTTTTGAAATTAGCCACAGAGGGAGAAATCTCAGTTAATCTCCATGGAAACACATGAAGTCTTAAAGTGACTTAAAGTCTGCGAGGGCCCAGACCACGAGTCCTGAGGGTGGACATTTGGATTCACTAACACTCTCTGTGTCTGTCACACTTTCACTCCAACACTACAGCAAATTCACACATCTCTTGTGGAGCAGCACACATTTTCACATGCGTGCACCACACACACCAGGCGCACACACACACGCACACACACACACACTCACCCAAAAGCCAGAAAAGCTGCAATAAAACCAACCCAAGCGTTTCTGTTGTGGATCCTAATCCACTTTTCCACTCAGCTCACTGGTATATCTCTCCCTTACTTTCCCCCTCTTTCTCTCTGCATCTCCATTCCTCTTTTTCTACTAACGAAAACAATACAACGGGGCTGATCTGCGTAAATGCTGACGCAGCTGGAAACTTAAAGGCTCGGTGCACGGTGCGTTTTAAGACCCTCTTTTTAGAGGCTGTTTTTTTTGCCGCAGCAATAAACCTAAGACCACAAACTGGCAGAAAAGGCCTCAGCACCAACTTGCTTATACTTGAGATCGATAAGACGCCCCCTCTGGCATCTCTGGACTTGCAGTGCAGTTTTACTGGCAGTCAAAAGGTCAGAGAAATATGGGCTATTTAAGGTTCAGTGGATTCAGCTAATGGAGTATGTGCCATGCTCCTCAGAAGTACAGATGAGGCTATTGTAGGTGCCCACTTACGATGGCATGCTTGGTGAACTTCAGCTGCACTTTGCTCTCTTTGTGATGGACAATTACTTAGGAAACTAGAGATAGAAAGATACATCAGAGTCTAAAGAGGAACTATGTCTTGATGTTTTACTCTTACCATCAACATTTATTGTTGTCTAAGTGGCAGTGATGCACAGATCTGGATTTTTGGGGATCAATGACAACACTGATATCAGGAAATAAACCATTTCCAAAACCGATTATATAGATTAAAAAAGGAAAATTGGCAATGATTCTGTAGCTGTGCTAATCAAACCCTCATGACAAAGAAATGTAATTGAGGCAATTACAAACATAAATACACATCTTCTCTGCATCACATTAGTTTCCCTCGGTCTTTATGAAAACTGTACCTGGTTGAGCTGCTCCAGGTCCTGAAAGCCCTCCAGAACTCTGCGGTACTTCCTCTCCCTGTACTTCCTGCGGATGAACGTGGCACGCTGCTCCGCCGAAGCGCCGCTGTACAGCTCCTCCTCCATGGGAAGATTAGCAGCCCAGAAACTGTTTGCATTCTTGTTCCCCACCTCCAGGAAGAGCTGATGGTTTGGCAAACACACAGGGGAGACATTCAGATGAGAATCATTAGTAGACCTATTTGTAGAATTTGAAATTAATATCCAATTTTAAATTTTACAGTCTTTAAGATTAACCTGGTTCAATGTACCAAGGAAAGATAGATGATACAGCAGAAAGTGGTTGGTGGTAAATGTATAGAAAAGGCACTCTGGGTATTTGGCCTTGTAAAGATTATCGGAAGATGATAAAAACATACGAGGGGATAAAGTAATGCTGTAATTTGCTTTCATTTCACACTCACCTCCACTAGCTCATTGCTCCAGATGCTGCTATCCAACTTCAAACTCCGCACTTTGGAAATACTCGGGCCAAGGGAGCGGTGCTGTCCTGGCACACAGATAGACATGGTCATCAAGTTGATTGATTCCACAGATAAACAAACACAGACACACCAAGAAAAACCTGTTGGGCTCATGAAACCTTTTCTTAACTAGTTTATTTCATAAAAAGCATGACTGTCAGGTTTTTAGTTCCTAAAAACTTCACATTAAAAAAACTAAACTTAAATTAAAAAACATATATGCACAGAAATCTCCTCTGTGTGCAAACACACCTCAAGTCAGTGATGGAATAAACAATAAAGAGGCAGTAACAAGATGGAGAAACAGAGCATGACTGCAAGCTCATTCTCTCACTCACGACAGACATATTTAGTCCCCTCAGCACTCCTAATTGGAAATGAACGCACAGAACGAGGCCCATTAATTGCTAATGAATCATGAGTAATTCATTGTGTTTGCTGGTCGGCCTGTTTATTTGGGTGAACGAGAGACTTCTGGGGTTGCTTATGGCCAAAGACGGAGCATATATGCATAATACATTAGGCGAGAAACCTGCTGTACGCGTGAATGTGAATTATTGTCCTGTGTGTAATGGCGGATAATTTTAGATTTAGATTTGGCGTGAACTCATTACTGTCTTCTGTGCTCAGGCAGAGCGGCAGTGAGTGAAAATGTGCAGCCGTGAGCGGCGAGGGGCCGTCTCATCACAGATCCAGAGGGCACAGACCGGAAATCTCTGAATTATTTGTCACCTAGTTAGATAATAAAAATTTAGTAGGAATAAAATTAAGTAATCATTATACTTTAGGCATGCAGGGGTTTTATCGTATATATTCTGACGAAAACAAACCAAACTTTGCCAAAATGTACTTTTGAGAAATCAGACATTTTGTTGGACAAGACTAATTGCTCCTCAATTGGATTTGGAAACTAAAAGACCATGACAGGTCCCATTGTGATCAGGCTTGATGTGATCAGATGATGAATCACGGATAAGGGGCAGTCCTCGCTTTCCTGTCACATTCGTTCTGAACAAAAATGTTTTTTTCCATTGCAAGTGGGAGAGTAGACATCTGCTCTACGGCTACACTTTCTATATCAAGGTTTTAGTTTAGTGCACTTTCGAATCAAGATCAATAATATTGTCATAATGTGTTGTTTTTAAAGCAGAAAAGGAAAAAGACATGGACCAAGTATTGAACCCTGTGGAACACCATATGGAATTGGTAAAGGCCTTCTTATCTTCTTATCTTATATAGGACCAGTTGCGGATCTTTCAATAAAATATAAACCACAAGTTTCAAATAACCTATTAGCATTGTTTAGCTAAACATGAGCAATGTGATGCACAACCTCCTTAAGCAAATACATTGAAATGAGATCCAGGCAGTAGATGGATTAATTTAAACAGCTTTGAATTATCTATTTTGTTAAAAACATTGAAAGTCTGTCGAGGGAGAGAAAAGCATTGCTCTTGCTGTACTCCAGATGTCACGCCTCATCAAATTGCGTAATTTTGTAATGAAATCATTTAGCACGAAACTCTTCACGTTTACAAAGACCCAGGAGCAGTTGAGTTGTAAACAATAATCTGGAGCTATTAACATATTTCTTACCTGACCAAACTCATTTCATCTGAGCTATGAAACTACTAATAAAAGAGGATTCCCTTTTCCCCTTAAAGGTAAATCTTTTTTCCTCTGAAAAAATACTTTCAATTTAAACAGTCCTTTTTACAGCAGCATTGTTTAAATGTGGTTTCTCCACCCCCAGAATTCAAACTCACTGCCTTCAAGACCACATACGTCAATCTTAGTTTCTGTCACTTCTTCTGGAGTGAAAATACTGCCTGCTGCAGTGCTACAGCCAAGCTCCAACCACTGAGCCATACAGCACTGCAGGACCATTTTCACTTGTGTAAGGGTAATGAAGCTGAATGAAGTGTGCATGTGCATGTGCCAGCGGCTCCGTGGTGAGAACCTCCCCTTTCATGTGAAACCACAACACACAGAAGGACATTCCCGTCTCTGCGGCTTCCACCAACAGATTTCACCTCTGATCAAAAACTGTCCCGGTGACTACAGCGGCAGATCACGAAGCACTTGCCACTCTGAGACAAGTCAGACGGAAACAAAGAAAAACCACGGGTGATGCATTTTTGGGTTACCATGGCAACTGTTGCCAGTGTCTAGACGTTGTGCCCTGGTTTAGGAGTTTATTGCAATTATATGTGAAGAAAGGGGGCCTCCAAGTCATTGGGGTAATGTAATTTTCTTTGGTGGCTGCATAAAAGAGTAGAGAGAGGGACAGCTTTAGGGAAGTGGAGTTATTGAGGGTTGACGGGTTAAGGAGCCAGAACAAGTGGGAGATGCTTCCCTCAAAAAGTCCCTGAAAAAGTCTAAACTAGTTTTTAAAGCTTCAATAATCAATGTTTTTTTTTTTATTTGACATCAGGTCAAATCACTACATGTAAAGCGAGATTGGTCAGATGTTGTTAATAACCCACAAAAACTTATCACCCAACTCTGCAGTTTGCTCCATGAGGCGTTTTAGCTTATTTGTGTTTATTGTTTCGGTTTTCTGGCTCACAAGTTTTACAGTTTCGTTTAGTGTCGCCGCTCTCAACAGACTCATTTCCAGCAGCAGGCAGCAGTTTGCAGTGAAAAGGCCTCTGGTAAACCCCCAGTTTGTTACTTTCTCATGAACAAAATGCACACGGACAATTTAACAAACCAGCTGAATAACATATAGTGGGGGAGCATTTATAAGAATTGGTGGAGACCAAAACAGAGCTTAAAAGAGTTTGAATTTAGGACTTATAAGACCAGAGACTGCTAATGTTTCTCTTTGTCAGCTGAATGTGTTAATAGGCAGTTATGTTCAAGCAAGATAAATTTAAAGAGGTGATAATGTTTTATGTCAGTGGTGCTTTTACACTTTGCTGCTGTTCCTGAGTAGCCAAAAATATCAATTAATGCAGGTTTAATGCTCAGCAGTTTTTACTTATTTTTACCAAATGGTAGCCATGTTATCTCTAAAGGGGCTGTGATTTCTTACTGTCTAAAAAACAGTCAAGAAAATAAATGTTTAGGTGGTGCCGAGATGGATGCTGTTTCTTTTACAGTAATTAGAAAAAAAACAAGAATGTGCTGATGCTACGTATAGTATCTGAAAAAAAGGTTTTGCATGTTTTTCTGATTTTTTAGCTTTTTTGATCAAATCCACCTGTTTTCTAATGTTAAAAATAAAAACTGATATTTTTATTTTAAGACAGCTGACTGCTTCAAGTATTCACAAGCAAAAGACAAAATATTACCATATGAACCTGCTCCACAACAGAGAGAGAGAGGCTGCAGACTATTAAAATTCATTCCATCTTGGCAAGAGGAGAGGAAAGCTTGGGATCATTTTTACCATTAGCCTTCTCATTACTTCTTTCCTCTTTCTCTTGTTCAGCATTTCTCTTTATTGTCCATGACATGAGAGCACTAATTAAAAGCGTTAGCAGTCATTGGTATTCCAAATGGACCACCACCTAGTTTAAGGAGAGCACAGTGTGAGGACAGCTTCCCCGTTGCAGATATTCACCCGCTCTCTCCCTGCACGTCGACCAAATGTAATATTAAAACACCCCTGCAAATGAAATCATTTACGGGTGTTTGAAAAGGGATGTTGGATATCGAATGCGTACCAATTACACAGGCTCTGCAGAGGTGAGGTGAAGGATCGCATTAAAACTTATGACAAATCTCAAGCTCGGAGAAGATGTGGAGGGGGGGAGGATGGAGAGGGTAAGTGATAAAAAAAAAAGAGGACACTACACACCAGCCAGAATGCCCTTCACTTTAAGCATGGCCGCTGCTTCCCTTTAATCATGTTTAGCGGGTCAAAAAGCAGTTTGGGATTCCCCGGGTTCTCGACCGTGGCTTAATCTTTGTTGTCATTTCATCTGTGACATCCAGCACAGCCAAACAGATTGGAGAGAGTCCAGAGGCCAGACGCCAGCTCCCATAAGTAGCTTATCACCGGAGATCTTATTCCAAAAGAGCCTCTGGGTCAGAGTACGTACTCCCAGACAAACATCAGACCACAGGTGAGTACAGACACAGCATGTATTCAAACCTTGCTCCTGATTTTTCGAATTAAGTTTGGTCTTTCTTTTTAGTTTGCACAATGTAATATCACTAATTATATTATAAATTATAAATATGAGTAAGAGGATGTTGGTTTTTCCAACTGGCCCCCAATCTTCCACTTATGACCCTTTTTGTAGTCAGGCACTGCTTATTCATGAGTCCCTGTCAAAGGTTATAAGGGCTGTGTGTGTGCAACGAAAGAATGATATTTCCTTCCTACAAAGGAATCAGTCATTTTTCAATAAATTCTGAGAAAGTTTAAGGTTAACTACAACAATAATTACAGGTACACAGCAGTTGGTCGGTCGGGTTAATGAGTTAGGGTGATTGGTTCGGTTGGGGTTTCCCAGCGAATTATTCATGGATCTTGTTGGGGGAAAAAATCTGGTATATTTAGAGAACTGATTTGAGTGTTAGCAAGTTGGTGCAGTTTGAATAAATTCAATGGGACTGTTGGGGCTTGGCAGACGTATGCACTCTACTGGTTGCCATTCTAGTTAATTCTGATAAATTGCTTGCATAATCTAGATTGTCTTTTAGTCATTTATATGAACACTTTCAAAAAGGAAATCATACAATTACAAGCGGATGAAGATTTAAGTATCATATGACAAATTGGGTTAAATTTCACTTGGAAACCAAAAGCTGAAGGTAAATCAAACATAATTCCAATAATCAGAACAAAATTACATTGTTGTTAGTAGGAAATCATGATTTCCTTCTTTTTTTCTTTGTGTCTTGTGTAGCATTAAGTCTTCATTTTGTTCTGACATGTTTGTTTTCCTCTCGTAGGTGAAGAACCACTGCATTAAGAAATATCAAATGAAGCGACTCCTCACATGCTGCTTGCTGCCTCTCACACAAAGCTGTGAGTGGGCGGCTCTTTCCAAGCAGGGGATCGTTCATTTGATTGTTTATCTCGTGTACAATATCTTTCACAGGGTGTGTGTCTGCATCCAGCACGTGTGTGTGTGAGACAAACAAAACGTAGTAACGAGTAACATCGTGTAGCATCTCTTACCTGCACATTTCTTACAGATGACCACACCCAGATTGACGGACGCCCACTCGGGCCTCTGGGCGCGGCAGTCGGCACAGCTCCTGTTGGCCTCGTCGAACCAAATCTTCTCTGCCACTTCATAGTCGGAGAGTGTCTCCGCGATCGATTCTTGGATCGCTTCAATCCACTCCTTCTTCTCCCATTCTGACTCGGCCGTGAAGCTGCAACAATTGATTTTTTGCCCCCCCCCCACAGACATGCCTCACTGTTATTGATTTGATTTGAGAGAGCAATTAAACAGCATAGTATCACTTGGCAGGGTTATGGGGGCGTGCAGGATTTGGAGTTTTTTTGGGGGGAGGGGGGTTGCTGAGTATGAACATGGGTGATTGCAATAGATTTGGTGAAACTGATAGGGGGGGTGAGGAGAGGGGCGGCGAGGCAGGTAAATCAATCTGTCCCACCTTGCTCCACTAAAATCTATAAACTGCTAATGCAGGATAATTTGTGAGGATATCATTTCTATATTAGACCCAGAAATGCTGAGAAATCGTCACGTAAAGCTTGGTCATGAGAATCCATTCCTGTCATGTCACTAGAAACAGAAATCTCAAGGCCCATGAGCCCAGCGTATTTTTAAGAAGTGAAATGTGTGCAACAAGTTATCTGTGCACGCGTGTGAGCTTAAGCAAGAGCACGTGGAAGACAATAAAAGAGACCACAAGAACAACAGAGATAGACACGTATGAAATTGAGAGTAAAACCAAAGAAAGTCCGAGCTTGACTGAAAGGGGTACTTAGAGAGGAGAAACGGGACCACTTGTCTCCATGGCAACCTGGCTACTAGTGTAAAGTAAGACGGAAGATGAAGGGAGGGAAGGAGACGGTGGAGAGGAGAGGAAGCTTTCACTCGGAGCATGCAGGAGGATGTTCGCCAGGGCAACATCGTCTAAACAAGCCGGCAGAGATCGATTGTGTTGATGGGGTTGAGCCGCTCCGTGCCCACCGGCCTCTGCCCCTCGGAGGAGACGACTGCACACATCGTCTGCTGAACTACAACACGGCCTCCAAAATCACAGAGGAGCAAAGGGAAGCAGGAGGAAGCACAGGTGAATGTGGAGGTTCACACGCTGCAAAGTTTTAAATATAAACTGCAGGCCTGTGTCAGACGGGGCCACAATATAAACTACAGCTTGAAGGACAGCAGGCCAGTTATGAGGAAAATATTCAATCAAAGACAACCACAAATGTTCTTTCAAAACCACTGAGAAATGAAAGCAACCCTAATAGATGGAGTAGAAGGAAAAAGACAGTTTTTTTTACAATCAATGTCAATCACCCACGCAGCCACAGGATCCAAGCTCTCCATCGTTCATCTGCGTTCCTGCAACTATAAAGTCACAGTGCTCTCATGTTGTTGCATTCTGCGCCCAGGCAAAGTCCGACAATAGAGTTCCGGCTGATGTGGCCAATGGTATTAGTAGTGGCTAATGGGGGATGTGAATAAACTTAAAACTTCAATTTCAACTGGCTTACATGACCTTCATGGTTTGGAGTTCGAAAAATTGCTCTTAACGATCAACGTCACGGTTTGCCCACTCACCCGAGGACCAGATATCAGTCCTTATTCATGAACATGTTTTCTGTTCATGTAAAATGACGGTTGAATTTGGTAATCCAATTTTAAATACAGTAACTTGAAATTCTTAGCTGTGGTGACCTTTAAATCCTTAAGTTTTCTCCCTCTGGTGATTTTATACTATTTGCTGTGTAGGGCTTTTATGCTCCGCTATCATACATACCACATAGAAGCGAGGAAATCAAATTCTACTTCATGAATGATGAATGGGCACATGGCTTCTTTTGCATGCGTGTATAATGTGCTTAATGGTAATATATACAAAGTGGGTTGTATAATTAAACAGGTTTTCTTTAATATTATACTTGCATGTTAAATATTTAGAGCAGTTAATCAAGTTTAAGTCGAAAAGCATCAATATTACTTCACAGAGTTTGACAATAGTGACAATTGTTAATACAGCCACTAGGACCTTGATATGAAACAGCCCAGTGCACAGCCAAAGAGACAGTTAGCCGATCAAATAAGATCAAATGTACCAAAAAATGGCATGAGAGGATAAAAAGAGAATCAAGAAATACTGAGGTATCTTCAGTGGATAACAGATTTCTTCTAAGATCTTCTGCTCTAATGAAACAAGGTTGAACTATTTGGCCTCAATTATGAAGCATCATGTCTGAGTGGAAACCAGGCACCGCTCATAATCTGCCCCACACTGACGACGAAGCGCAGCGGTGGCAGAATCACGCTGTCGTGGGGAAGGTTCAGGGGCAGGGAGACCGGTCAGGGTCGAGGCAAAGCTGAACAGAGCAAAAGGACAGATATGCTTAATGATAACCCGGTGAAGAGCCCAAAGGTTTGCTTTCTTTTAGGACAATGACCTTAATTAAGAACACAGTCGAGACAGCGAACAAGGGACAACTCTGTAAATGTGGAGCCCGGGAAGAAACCTGACCTGAACCAAACCTGAACATGTCTGTCCAAGGAACATCTTTTCTCATTCCTCTACAGTTATTCTTTTTTTCTCCTGAAACTCCTCGTCAGTGTTTCCGCCAATACTTCGTAAGAATTGTGATTTCATGTGACATCTCAAATCCCCCACATTTGCAGAATGCATGCATTGCTGCAAGCACGCCTCCTAAGAAGGTTGACATCTAACTATCTAACTGTGAGATTATCAGTGTGCGTGTGCTGCTCAGAGCTTTGGATCATCAAATCTAAAATATTCAACTGTGAACACACCCAGGATAATCCAAGACCTGTCACAAGTTTCACTTTGAAAACAAACAAACATGTAAATGTCCATCCGTACACTGTTTTCAAACCAGAAGCACAAAGTATTTTTCCTCCAAACTTGTCTGTCTTTGCCTGGTTACATCTCTTCTTTCTGCCTCATTGTCATTCTCCCTCCTCATAAAAGTCTGCGATTGTATCTACCACAGCGGACTGAGCGCTCTGTCCATTTAACGGCAGCAAAACAACAGAAAAGCCAAAGTGAGTCTCCACAGCTTAAAGTGATTAGATGAGTTTCTCACTAATCCCCACCTTGAGCAGGTAGGAGAACGCTCCCAGGGCTACCAATCGATTTGACACACACACATACACACACACACACACTCACACACACAATGAAAGCCTTTCAGCAATCACCTCATCAAAACAATTCGGGAGACCTGAGCTCATTTTAATTCCACCTTCTTTTTGTTGCACACAAAATGGCAATTACGTCCAGCGTATTAACGAAGCTGCCAAACGATGGGACCATTAAGGCAGCTGACACAAACAGATCGATCGGACATGCAACAGACAGGTAGAGGAATGAGGACGGAGGAAAAAAAAGTCTTTTCACAAGGCAACGGGCAGAAGGAAAAAAAAAAAAAAAAAAAGGGATGAAAAAGAAAAGAAACTTGTGAACAAGCGCATACAAACAAACAAGCCTTGCTTTGCCCAGGCAGCTGTGACGGTTGTATTCTAAATGGGCCATTACAGCACAAACAAGCAGCGCGCTCATTGATCGTAGGCCCTCGGGGAACAGAGGCACCTAAAAGGCTTTGTGCCCCACAGGCGTACAGATACCTGCATGAAGCTCCCGTGGGAAGACTTCATAAAAAAATTTTTTAAAAACCTGATCGATAATTAGCGATTTCTGTGCAGAAGGCTGTTCACATGTAATGCGTGCGCTGGGATGGCCAATAAGTCTGTGAGGTGTGCGGCGGTCGTCGAGGTGGTGTGTGAAAGAGATTTGACACGAGTGAGAGAGGGAGCGACTGAAATACACTTCTTCTTTTTCTCTTTGTCTCATTAGAGCTGAAGCTGGACTGTGTGACCTGCCTGCTCATTAGTTTCTCGGCTCACATCACAGAGGAAAACATGCACTGGAGTTTGTACTGTGAATTATATACACAGGTGTTAACATTGGCTGCAATATCTGACAATAAAGGTGAATTTTGAGTATAAATCTTAAATCCTAAATTTTTTACATTTACTTTAATTGTTCACTTTCATTGACGTTGCTAAATGTTGCACAATGCAAGGATGTTAAAAGTCTGCCGTGTTGAGGGGACTGATATCGGCGAGTTCAGAAATATATTCCTGATCTGTTCCTGTTCAAAGTGAGGTCAAGTTTTGGGGACTGTCAACCTGCACCATCTGCTCATGTGGGAACATCAGGGTTCACGCAACTCGCTGCAACGAACATGTATTTTTCATTATCAGTTATTAGAATTGGTTATTATTATTTTTACAGAGTAGGATCAAGGTGGTTGACCTTGGAGACTGAGGTTTGAAACTTTTGTATTGACTCAAAAACATTTTTTATTTTCTCTTTCTAAAAAGTGTATTTTACACTTGCCTCTCAGGGCCAACAGGTTTTCAAAGATGAAACTTACAAATAAAAGATCCTGGCCTAAAACAAATGTATGAATAAAAATCTTATTGGCCGCTGCTGGCAACTGTATTTAAAGTGATTTTCGTGCCTATAGAAAACAGAATAAATCCTCCAAGTCTCCAGGAAAGAAGATTATGAAAAATAAATCTGATATGACTTTGTGAATTTTCCCCTAACAGTTACAGTTATATATATATATATATATATATATTATAGTAAATGTGATTACCTGATGAGATATGATAAAATATACTGTGACGCATGCACATACACAAATGGGGTGCACACTTACCAGAAGTTCTTAAAGGGCGTGTTTATGTCAAAGCCTCTGCGGTCCACTTCTTGAATATTGGCAGCCGTGAGTTCCACCTGAGCGATAGCCAGTCCCGCTCTATAGTCCTGGACCAACACAGAGGGAATGAGAGTCAATGCTGTATATACCCAGATCAGGCTATGCCGCCTTTTCATAATTTACACCATATAATGAGAAATGATTGGTTAAATATGATGCCTCTAATGATTTGATGAATTTGCTCAATTAACAGATAAACAAACGCATAAAGATGAAGAAATTAGGTAATAATAATAACTTTCAAGGTACCCAAGGTCATTTTACAGAGTTAGGGAACAAGAAAAAGAGCTTTTGTGGTTTTGAGTTTTTTTAAATGTGTCCAGGGATGGAGCATTGTGTATCTACAGTAAATAATCCAGAGGTTCGGGGGCAGCAGTTTGGTGCGAAATGTTAAATGCCCTTCTGAATTATCTTCCCACAGAGTCAAAAAACAAAAGCCTGGTAATAAGGGTAGAACATCCTCCACAATCAACAATTAATCACCGTTTCCTCCCAAAACAAAATAACTTTTTCACTTTCTTTGGGCAACATGAATCTAAAAACTGTTCAAAACACTTCAGAAAAAGAAAATGTTTTCCTGAAGCCCCCTGCAAATGTTAGGGGCCATCTCAAGCCCTTTCTGGCCAAATTAGAATGCTCCGTAATAAGCTGGGATCAACAGGTCACCTCATTAGAGTCAAAACTCGTTTCTCACTCAGGGCTTGAATGTCATTCGGCAAAATAAAAACCAACAAACACTAAAGAAGGCCTGACATCACCACAGGGACATTCTCAGCGTACATGACGCACAAACCTGGTCAGTGTGTGACGCTCATGTGTGCAAGTGTTAAAGAGAAACCTGCAGAGACAGGAAGAGATGGAGAGGATGTAGTGTGTCTGTGATTGTGTGTGTGAATTGGGATAAGGTGTAGTTGGTCCACAACGAATGGAAGTCGATGCAAAGTCTTAATATGGATAGCAGCACAAACCAGTGTGTGTGTGTGTGTGTTCCTGCATGAATCAGCAAAGCTCTGCACAGGGGCAAAGGTGCATCTGGAAAATCCAAACCAGCCCGAGCATTCACCCTCTGTTTTTTTTTTCGCAGGCCCATTTCAGAAATAGGGGTTAGATGCCGAGGCACTGTTTCCACAAGCTCCACCTTAACTCCACACCCCTTCCTCCCCCACCTCACCCTCAACACTCACAGCAGTTTTGGCCATTTGCTGTAGCCCGCAGCTCTGCGTTTCTGACATTACAATACAGAAAAAGACACTTTATTCCATTACTGAGGCGCAGAGACAAAGCCAAACATCATGAGTCAAAAGATGGGGGAGAGGAAGACAGCAGGAACACAAAGGAAGGGGAATGAGGGAGAAAGTATAAGTGAGAGGTGGTCTTAGTAATCCTCCCTGAGAGTGGGTGAGATGGGTGAGGAGTCAGCTGAGCAGTTTAGAGAAAGCGAGTGTGTGTGTGTGAGCCAGAATAAAACAGGATCTATGCCAGTGCTCAGTGAATCACGAACAGTCTTAGCGATGAGCGCTAACTGCCACTGTGCCGTGCCAGCTATGAAACACGTGTTTCCTGCACCAACTGTTCTCTACCAGCAAAAACAATTTGCACTAATTACACAAACAAAGAAGATAATTAATCTACACCACCTTAATTGATGAGACACTTTTTATTTTTGAGAAATGCATGGTCAGTGCAAAGAAATGAGGGCAAGAGCGCTGCCACTATCTCGCGCAGAAACCTTCAGCTAATTGGCAACAAACTTCTCGGAAGCGTCCAGATTTTGCAGATTACTGCACAAGGAGGAAGTCACTTAAATTTTTCAAACCAGAGGGATTCAATTGGAGCCGTCAAAATCGTACTTTGACCATCATTAGCCCCAATTAGACTAATTCGGAGAAATGTAGAGGAGTGTGGTGGAAAACTAAATGATTCTCCTTTCTGCACAATGATACTGAGGCAGAGTGAGCTGAATAGTAATATGCAACTAGTGCGGAGGGATTCTGTGAAGCTTTATGAGCAATTAAGACACTGAGCGGGGAAGTGGCATTAGAGACATAAAGATAGAGGGGAAGAAGAAGAGGAGGCGGGTGAGACAATTGAATTCACTGTGGCCGAGGTTTAATTGAGCTAAAAAGTTTTGATGCGAGGGCTCTCGCCTCTCTCCGTCCTATCAATTATAACTTTGTACCCTCATTGCTCTTTTAAGTTCTACTGAGGTTTGAAGACGCGTGACGCCATAATGAGAGCGCAAAGGTGGTGGGAAAATGAACATCGTTCTCGCCGACCGCTCAGTTCGACCAAAAGATCTCGAGGCAACATGTGGCGGTAATTCAGACACAGAGAAGGACAAATGGTTTGCATGTATAAGATAGGGGGAAGATGTAAGGTGGAGGAGGCCGCCGGGCGCCGCTCACGCAATGCATGAGCACTCCCGCCTGTCTCAACGCGAGTGTATGACTGCGCTGAGAGGGCAAAGCAGTCACCTATACCTAATGACCCTCATCCCTCTCAGGCAGCCAATTAGAGCGCCGGGGGTTAGCGGCCGTCCGGCCCTCACCACCCGTTACCCGCCCAATATGTGCCGTGGCCTCCTGCCCTCTCCAATTAATTCACCAAGGATGGAGGGAAGGAAGGATGGAAACGGCGTTAGAGGTAAAAATAACTCGCCCAATTACAACAGCCGAGGGTCAGGTGGCAATAATGGCACTTAGAGGGGGGAGAGGGGAGAAGGCTCTCAGGCGAATGTTCATGATTCTTTTTTTTTTGGGGGGGGGGGGTTCTTGGCTACTTTCTGCCCACAAACCACACAACATGAATAAAGCATCTCAAAGAACTTCAAAACAGCTCAAATCAAGTAAACACATTGAATTCCTGCAAAATTTGAGTGATAAAAGAATTTCTCTGACTACTACAACAAATAACCTTAACCTGGGAAGTGGTCAGCAAAGCCCGGATCTGAGTATTCATGCATCCAATTATAATTTCTATTCAATGCTTCCCTGTCTCTTGTTGTGTGAGTCAGTCACTCCAGAGTGCAGAGTTTGCTCTAAAAGAATAACAGACAAGAAGAGGCGGCCTCTGCCTCTGTAACTCCGACTCAGCGTTCACTCAACCACTTAAGCTGCTCTAAAAGCATGCAGGTTAAGACCGCCTCACAGAGGGGTAGGTGAGTTGGAAAGAGCACACACTCAACAGCAGACAAAAGACTTTTGATTATTTTGAACATCAGGCAGCGAGACAGAGAGGCCAAGGAGAGTGAGGCCCTGCGGACAATGATCGCGGATTAGAGAGATGCAGGGAGACACACAAATAAATATAATGGAGGCAAACGAGAGAAACAGCAAGAGGCGAGTGATGAATGCACTCATAGTGAACCTGAGCAAAACTCAACTTAACATTTGATTAAATATTTTACAGATGAAAATACATATCCTGAAAGAATATTTAAAAATCATGTACTGAATCAAAGAGAGGTCCTAAAATGCAGCCAGCAGCCAGTGAAAGTCACTTCATTGGTCTGTCAGTCACATTTGTTCAAAAATATTTCATTAAACTTTACTGTGCATGTGGAACATGGCTATAAAGGCTTTATGAGCCCGACTGCTGCTTCACTGTAAGCTGAGCTGGTAAAGAAAAGGTTTAATGCACAGAGCAACAGCACCAACCTGTCTGGATCTGATTTGAGCTTCGAGTCTTTTACAGACATATTGGCATCAGCGTTTAAATCATATTATAAAAAATTTAAAAAGATGAGCATTTATGTTTATATATTTTACGTTAAAAAGATTTTTCTATTTATTAATTCAAGGCTTTTATTCATAAAGTTTATGCTTCGATTTATCTAAATGTTTAATTATCTTAATTAAAATTGTAAATGTTAAACTGTAAATATCAATCCTCCTCGATGACATTTCAAGTGTTTGATAATGAATCATTTCAAATTTGTTCAATATATCAGTACCAGATTGTTTTTTATTCCCTAATAATCGGTGTGAACTTGCTGACAAGCTGAAGATTACACCTGCTAATATGAGTTCACATGTCTAACTTGCTGTGCTGTACCCAAATAGCAAAAAGAAGTAAAAGCAAAAGACAATACAATAAGTGTAAATTGCACATACATTATGTTCGTGAGAGTATTTGAAATTTGCTCTTTGAGCTGCATCAGGTATGCATACAGAATCGAAACTCATTACAAGAGGGGGGCCTCTTGTGTCGCAAATTCTGCAAAGCGGCCTGGCAGTCTTTGGATGCTGTTAATTGCTACAAAGAAGATCTTGAGAGGAGCAAATGAGAAGGAGATTCAATTAAAGCAGAGATTAATTAAATCCTCAGTCTCACTGTTATTACTGTATATTCAGAATACCTTTTCCACCAGAGAAGGCTCGACCGTATGTGCAACTTTTGCTAAGTAGGAGGAAGAAAAAAAAATGTCTCAGGCATTTTTTTGTTTTAAGGTTCAGCCAATCAGGAGCGAAGATTTTTTTTTGTGTGTGTATAAACTGGATTCAGCTGAGCTTGTGGGAACGCGGTTTACATACAAGATGACAGCAAGAAGTATGATCGTCCAACAAACAATCAATCAGCCGCTGCAGTGAAGACAAACCCGATAACACCTGTGATGTATGAGATGATAAGATGTGAAACAAGTTGCTCTGGTTGTCAAGATCTGCCTATGCAGCCCATGGCGGAGTGAGGGGGGGGGGATCCTTCTCGGAGTGAATGTGACACACTTTGTGCACCGTCTGACTTTCTTTACCTTAGTGTTTAAATGACCTTAAACACAGCTCCATCACGGGGCTCACAGCCCGTGAGAAATGGGAGCGGGGTGGCGAGGGAGGAGCTGGGAGGATGATGTTTCCAATAGCTCGTTCATCATGTTAGATTAAATACTCCACTCCACTGAACTTGAACAGGGCAACGGTCTACCTCCCTCTTGCTCTCCATCACTCTCCTTTTTTTTTTTTATAAACTACCAACGCTCATTTCTCACTCATGCGACCCCTGCTCCAAAGGGCTCCCGCCATCCCTTTTGTTTCTATCTCTTCCTCCACTATTCCACCCCCCCGTTTTCCGTCTGTCTCCCTCTTTGCAAGTCGTCTCTGCTGCAATAGTGCCGGGGATTTAGCTTGTAAACCGAAATAATACAATTAATTAGTTCTCTCCCTACGATTCTCTCCATCGTTCCTCACGCTCACGTCTCAGATCAAGGAAGTGGAAATGTGCTGACATGCAGTGGTAACCAAAAGAGAATTCTAACAAAGATGTTTGTTCACCTTAATGAAGAAAATAATGAAAGGCAAACAGCAAAACTACAGGAGCGAGCGAAACGAAATGAGAGCCAAGGAGGGATGGAAATGAGTTGGATGCGCGCGGCATTATCAAATATGCACACAAATAAGTGTGAGGCACTGCTGGAGATGAATAGTAGAAATAGTATCGCTGCTATTATGGATCTTTCAATCACAGACATGTTGCTACTGGGACACAAGTAAGAAAAGATTCATGAGATTTTGGGCCATTGGGTCATTTGACAAAAAATAAACTGTGAAGCAAAAGGTGCTACAACCAAGCATGTTGATACCCCACTGAATTTACTAAAATACTTTGACTTAGCTTGAGGAAACCGGTAAGACTTAAAAAAAAGGAAACGTTGAACATTTTGCATCTTGTATATCTAGAGGCAAAGTAAGGGAGCATTAGCTTAAACCTCATCTACGTCATGGATGCCTTAGCTTAGCATGCACACTGAACGCAAAAAGATATGGGTTTTACAGAATTGTTCAAAAGAAGACTGAAAATCTCACAAGGGATATTTCACTTATTTAAGAAATTTAAAGATGATGTTCACACAACTGTAAAGATGACAACCACGCTAATGTTGAAGTTTTATATCCCTGTGGTTTTCATTTACTTCGGAAAAAGCTAGGCCAGCAGATCTTCTGCTATTTCCATTCTTTATGCTAAGCTCCATATTTACAGGTCAAGCGGTATCTTCTAATCAAACCCTCGGCAACAAATAGACGCATAAAAAAAAACCCTGTGTAGAAATTGGGGCGTGGAGACACTGGCCATGTCGGGCCACAATGGATTTGTATAGCAGGAAATGCGAGATCCAGGGTTTATGGAGCTTGATCGAAACCAGGATTTTCAAATTAGGATATTCTGACATTTAACTTTGTCAATACTGACCATTCATCTTATTTATGTGTGTCTCTCAAAATGTAGGGAGGCAAAGTACAAAGTATGGAGGGGTCATTTAAAGACTGTATCCATCTTCCTCTTCCTAACTTTAAATCCCCATATATTGACTGTTTTTCTAGAAAGTGAGACAAGTGTGCACATTAAAGTCATTATGAACAGCTTCGGTGGTTAGAGGTAATGGAAATAAAGCCACATTTTAGGGATGTTTTTTAGGTCAGATGCAGTGCCGTCGATATTTTCCGGAAGAGAAGCTTATGATTTCCACCCACAGGCTGAGGTACAGACTGAACCAAGCTCTTTCAGACCACCTTCAGATATGCAGAAAGTGGTGGTCCATTTAAATAACACAAGGTCCAAGTTACACCAATATGCTTCACACCAAAGGCAGCTCATAATAACGGAATAAATACCTTGAACCCTTAAAAACACAAATACGAAACAACTTAATTAAAAGTGTAAAAAGTTGCTGCATAAACATTCACTGAAACCACTCGGTGTGGTTGAACAAAAAATAGGTTTGTGAATACTTGCAAATTTAACAGAAGGGAAAAATATGCTAAAATATGATTAAATACAAAAACATTGGATTTCTTTTTTCCAAGACAAACGGGTTCTCTCCTGCTGTAATGTATTCACTCATTAAATTGAATTAAAAGATTCAGTGATGATGAGTTCAAATAAATGAAAAATGCCAAAAATTGCACGTTNCCCCCCCCCACCCCTCTCTGCTACAAAGTGTGAGAAATACTGGTAAATATTTTTGTTCCGACAATATTTTTGACCTTGACAAACTGAAGTCAGTCCATCTGTCATCTCTGAATAGGACGAATTTCTCTTTTCTCTCTTTTAAACAAATTGTCGTTTTCCATTACTTGCTTTTCAGAGTATTTGCAAAAATATGTGAATGGCTGAGGTGCTGCGTTTGGAGGATTGTCACATATGAATAACATGCTGACACCTGTCTGCTACTGACAGCTCATATTCGGTCCGATGAAATTACAGTTGCACAAGGACAATTGTGGGTTTCAGCTCCCATCTGCAAAACTAGAATTACCGCCCTGTATTTGTATGTCTGTAGTAATCAGTGTAGTTTAAGCCTAAATACATTTCTTTCTAGACTCATATGAAGTCACCAGGACCTTTGACCTTCAAACAATGAAATCTTATCAGTTAATATCTTACAGACAACTGTTAAACATTTGAAGTAATTCTCTAAAGGAAACAAAAACGTGTTTTGTGACAGAAATTCTCTGAAGGCGTTCTAGAGATATTGTGTTCAAAATAACAGACAACCTCCGGCCACTGCATAACAACACAACCACGATAACCATCAATAGTTGTCCTATACACACGTGTAAAGTATATACAGATATCAGTATTTAGTATTTAGCTGTGTGAATATCAGCAGGCAACACGCACAATCCAAGCAGGACTCTCTTTCCTCCGCTTTACTTCAATCTCTGTCTTTGCAGTTTTTCAGGTCTTATCATAACTGCAGAGGTGTCAATCAAAAGGAATTAGGGAAAACAAAGAGCAGACTCTACTCTCAGAAAACAATAAAAAATAATTACATTACTGCCTATGCTATTACAACCTATCTCTAGCATAAAAAAAATCCCCTTCCCTTTAATATACCTACACTTCAAAAAGCCATCATCCTGTCACTCATGTCTGTCATGTGAGGATGGATGTTATAGCTACAGATTGAAATTAAATGGAGATGCTCAAACTTATCTCGGTACAATGAGACACATTTAAACTGTATACCAACGCAGACAGTAGTAAAAGTCTGAAACACATTGGATGAGATATCGAAGACTCGCGTCAGGTTTGGAAACAAAAAAACTAAACGCCTGTTAGCTTCGGGTTAGGCTCGATCGAGTTCAGACAGAAAATGTATATGAAACAACATATACATTGGGGTATCGAGATGTCAAATGGCAACATGATATTGAATTTATAGATCTTTTAAAACTATATTATGCACTAGAGGGAAGAAAAAACAGAAAAATGGCTCATTAAATGTTGCAGTGAGGAAGTTTACCGGTCATCAGGTATCTCTCCGGCTAAATATTCATTAAACTGAGACTTCTGACATATTCTGGACGCTTGCATATCTGGTGAATAAAGTTGCATGAATAAGTTGGTTACTGCACTACCATCTGGTTTTACACACCAGAAATAGAGAAAACCTCTGATGCATTTTCACACATCTAGACCTATATTTACTTTTTGCATTACGCATTCATGAACATCCCCGTCTCTTTCATGAACCTCTCCATCGCCACCTCATCTGCATCAAATAGTCTGTGATTATTATCTTCGCTATTTCAAACAGGAAGCTGTCATCCTGTAGAGAGGAAGTCCCAGCGGTGTTGGATATACCTGTTCTGTTTTGCAGAGCCTGACTTTACTCCCCGCCAGGGACACCAGCACTCTGCCTTTGTAACCGCGGAGCTCCAGCAAGCCTCGCTTGTTTGTGGAGGAGGGGTGGAGGAGGCTGTCGGAGGGCTTCTGGGAGCCGGAGGCGGGGGGGTGTGTGGCCGACTGAAGAGTTTCCATCCACTCCTGGCGCTCCCCTGTGGACACGTGAATGAGTGAGAGGGAAGAAACGGAGAAGAAGAAGAAAAAAAAAAAAAAGAGAAGTAGATGTTGAATGTGGTTTTAAATGTGAGTGAAAGCAGTAGGGAAAGAAATCAACATTTTGTTCAAATGGATGGATAGAAACCTTTCAGCTCAACAAGACCCATCATCTAATATTGACTAGTTGCTCCTCTGTTTGGATGCTGTGTCAGATTTCATGTTAAACACTCAAGTCTATGAGTGTGAAGTAACAGACTTGTCACTATTCAATATAGGTTGTATTTATACTTCATTTAATTTAATACAAGTACCAGGTCAACTGAATGCTACATGGATGGAAAATGTAAAGATAACAGGCAGATTTTTTTTACCAATACATTGGTTTCAGTCGACCAAGATTCTTTTGATTGACTACTAAAGAAGAGAGCACATCTCTGAAATGTGTCAGACTCAGGCAAGATGTTGCAAACTGTATCACTGCATTTCCATTTGTGGGGTAATAGTGTACTTTGATGAGACTGTCTTGTTCTGATGAACAATCAATAAACAATTAAAATGTTTCTTGTCTTTAGATTAAGAAAAGCAGCTGGGTCCAGCAAACGTTTGCCAATT